GAAAGATTTGATAAATCATTTCAGTTCTTGATTGATTGTTCACGCTTACAGTGGCTTTCAGACAGCATACATTATAAAAAATTTCGTCTCCCCCCTCTTCTTTTAAAAAAAAATAGATGGACTAGTCCTGGGCAAACTGCCAATCGCTGCGCGTGACGCCAACGTTTTTTATAAATAAATAAATGTGCCGTTTTAAAAATAAATTTATGCAAACCGACACACCTGATGATGACCGTTTGAGTTATGGTCGAAACGGCGTGAGAATTTTTTATTGTTTTATATATATTTTGTTATTTTGTTGTTTCTCTTCAACGTGACTTTACCGAAAAAACTAAGAAAATGTTGGGGTTGTTTCCGATAATGCACCGTGGCAAGGGGATAGACATTGTGAGTTTGAAAAAAAGAAGGGAACGGGAGAGAGAGAGAGAGAAGGGATACCGGGACAGAGGTCCCCAAGACGGACAGAGAGGGCACGGCTCAAGATGGGCAGCAGGGGGGAGAACGATGGAGGGAGAGAAGGAAGGACCGGGCCATGATGTCGGGGATGATGAGAGGGTGGTGGTGGTGGTGGTGAGAGAGAGTGATGGTGATGATGAGAGGGTAGTGGTGGTGGTGGTGGTGAGAGAGTGAAGGTGATGATGAGAGGGTGGTGGTGGTGGTGGTGAGAGAGTGATGGTGATGATGAGAGGGTGGTGGTGGTGAGAGAGTGATGGTGATGATGAGAGGATAGTGGTGGTGGTGGTGGTGGTGAGAAAGTGATGGTGATGATGAGAGGGTAGTGGTGGTGGTGGTGGTGGTGAGAGAGTGATAGTGATGATGAGAGGGTAGTGGTGGTGGTGGTGGTGAGAGAGTGATAGTGATGATGAGAGGGCGATGATGGTGATGATGAGAGTGTGGTGGTGGTGGTGGTTGTGGTGGTGGTGGTGAGAGAGTGATGGTGATGATGAGAGGGCGATGATGGTGATGATGATGATGATGAGAGGGTAGTGGTGGTGGTGGTGAGAGAGTGATAGTGATGATGAGAGAGCGATGATGGTGATGATGAGAGGGTGGTGGTGGTGAGAGAGTGATGGTGATGATGAGAGGGCGATGATGGTGATGATGATGATAAGAAAGGTGATGATAATAATGAAGAGAGGGTGATGATGGTGACGATGAGAGTGATGATGATGAAGATAAGGTGATGGTGATGATGATGATGACAGTAATGTTGATGATGAGAGTGATGATGATGATGATGAAGAGAGGGTGATCGTGGATGATGATGAGAATGATGATGATGATGTTGAGAGTGATGCTGAGAGTGATGATGAAGAAGAGAGAGTGATGATGGTGATGATGATGACCTACAGAAACGGAAATCACGGAACGACCTCAGAGATCCCTTTAAGTGACCCGGTTCACACAGCTGCGGGCAGCACTTTTCTCCAACTCTGCCGAATGAGAGAAATATTCGTAGAGTGACATTAAAATACGTTATCTTTAATTATTCAGCACTGGAACTCAGTCACGTTAAGTAAAGGAGCAGAGTCAACGTGATGCTTTGTCGTGTGATGGAGTCAGAGTCAACGTGATGCTTTGTTGTGTGATGGAGTCAGAGTCAACGTGAAGCTTTGTTGTGTGATGGAGTCAGAGTTAACGTGATGCTTTGTTGTGTGATGGAGTCAGAGTTAACGTGATGCTTTGTCGTGTGATGGAGTCAGAGTCAACGTGAAGCTTTGTTGCGTGATGGAGTCAGAGTCAACGTGATGCTTTGTTGTGTGATGGAGTCAGAGTCAACGTGATACTTTGTCGTGTGATGGAGTCAGAGTCAACGTGAAGCTTTGTTGTGTGATGGAGTCAGAGTCAACGTGATGCTTTGTCGTGTGATGGAGTCAGAGTCAACGTGATGCTTTGTTGTGTGATGGAGTCAGAGTCAACGTGATGCTTTGTCGTGTGATGGAGTCAGGGTTAACGTGATGCTTTGTCGTGTTATGGAGTCAGGGTCAACGTGATGCTTTGTTGTGTGATGGAGTCAGAGTCAATGTGATGCTTTGTCGTGTGATGGAGTCAGGGTCAACGTGATGCTTTGTCGTGTGATGGAGTCAGAGTCAACGTGATGCTTTGTCGTGTGATGGAGTCAGGGCCAACGTGATGCTTTGTCGTGTGATGGAGTCAGAGTCAACGTGATGCTTTGTCGTGTGATGGAGTCAGAGTCAACGTGATGCTTTGTCGTGTGATGGAGTCAGGGTCAACGTGATGCTTTGTCGTGTGATGGAGTCAGAGTCAACGTGATGCTTTGTCGTGTGATGGAGTCAGGGTCAACGTGATGCTTTGTCGTGTGATGGAGTCAGAGTCAACGTGATGCTTTGTCGTGTGATGGAGTCAGAGTCAACGTGATGCTTTGTCGTGTGCGGGGTGACCGGCCTGTGAGCCATCAATGCAACGCACTTGAGAACCCGGTTTTAAATCACAGACCGGCGGCCTAAAGAAACTGGATTCTGAACGCAGGGCCTCAGCATCTCTGACCCCGTGACCTTTTAATGGAAGCGTCTCAAGCTCTAGCTGGAATCCTCGGGCACTCGCTGCAGAACGTGGATTCCACGTCCCCCACCCCCCCATCACAATGGATGGAGGTCGACTTCAACCGTATTTGCTTCGCATTACAGATAACGTTTCCATCGTGGGGTGAGAGCCGTGCCAGTTTTGCCATAAAATTCCTTGCATCTTCACCTGCAACCGATTTATGAGGTCACCGGAATCTGTGATTGTTGTTGATGTTAGATGCAGCTCACCCCCGTGTGTTACGATCTCCGCTACCCAACGCTTAACGCACGAGGCGAGTATCCGTTGCATCGTCGGTTCGTATCGATTGTTGAGCTCACGATGATTCCACCCGTGGACTCGGACGTGCACGGGAATCAATGAGTGCTTGTGTTGGCTTCACGTGGTGTGCTCAGGCACTGAAAGTCGTTGGTTCGAACATCCGTGGCGGTGCATCAGAAGTCATCGCTCCTTCAGACGAATCCACCGCCTGGTGGTGGTGGTGGTGATGAGGATGATGGGCCTTCCCCCGTGACACGTTGCAAATGAGGGCGGGGGAGGGTTGGGGGGGTTGGTTTGACCATACTTCACCACATCTGGTCGCTACGGGTATGTGAAGCAGGAGTGGGGGAGGGGAGGCCCAGGCTCAGTCGATGTTAGCCGTGGCCTGGAATCGAACTTGGGAGTTTGGGCTCATAGCGCAGTGCGCTCGCTCGACACTGCCCCCGTCTCACCCGTCTCTTCAAGAGCGATTCAGAATACGGACGTAGCTGGGGTGGATATTAACGCAAATATCCCTCACCGCGCCACGGAAACTAGTTGCCACCTTGTAGTCATTGTCCGGGATTGTTGTTGTTTTTAAATAGTTTACTTTAATAAAATACTTAGATATTTAAATTAAAAAAATATTCCCAGTGTCTGGAGGCGCACGGCTGTGACGCTGCCTGCCCGATGAATTATTATTCTCATTATTTGGCCTTTTGATTGTATTCATTTAATATTACGATGACTTTAATTTACTATTAATTCGTACCGTTTCAGTTTTTTTCTATAACTTTGTGATTTTTTTGTGTCCAATAATTGTATTATAACTGTGTTACAATTGTGTTTGTAAATATGTTTTTTTTCATCTTTACACGCCGTGAAGTGACCTTGAACCTTGTCGCTTGTGTGTACTTGACGTTGAACTTCTTTCGCGCCGTACGTAGCCAACCGCGCTCATCGGAAGTGCGGGGGAAAGGACAACAAACTCAACAAAAGGTTAACGCGTCGTAAGCTTTCGCGACCAGGATTATATTCATCATAATGCTCTTTGGGTTTGATCGCGTAAATATAAGTGCGTCGTTAACGCACCCACCACCCGTGCAAACCCACCAACATAACCCACGCGAAATTAAAAAATAGAACTGTTTTAAAAAAAAAAAGCGTTTTCAATTTAGATTTCAAAGTGAGAGGTTTCTTTGTTTTAATAAAATAACGAGTATTCTTCTCCATTATTATTATCAAACGCACAAAACAAATAATTCGAAGTGCCCAGGACGGCTATAGGCCACATGGCGACCCCCAACACTCGCTCTTCATTCAGTCCGCGGGACATCTCACCACCAACACCACCACCAACACCACAACAACAACACCAACACCACCACCAACACCAACACCACCACCAACACCAACACCACCAACACCACCACCAACACCAGCACCAACCCCACCAATACCACCAACACCACCAACACCACAACAACAACACCACTAACACCACCAACACCACCAACACCAACACCACCAACACCACCACCAACACCAACAACACCACCACCAACACCACCAACACCACCACCAACACCACCAACACCACCAACACCAACACCACCAACACCACCAACACCACCAACACCACCAACACCAACACCACCAACACCACCAACACCACCACCAACAACACCACCAACACCACCAACACCAACACCACCAACACCAACACCACCACCAACACCACCACCAACACCACCAACACCAACACCACCAACACCAACACCACCAACACCAACACCACCAACACCACCAACACCACCACCAACACCACCAACACCAACACCACCAACACCAACACCACCACCAACACCACCACCGACACCACCAACACCACCACCAACACCACCAACACCACCACCAACACCACCAACACCACCACCACCAACACCACCAACACCACCACCACCAACACCATAACACCACCACAACCACCACCAACCAACCACACTGTGTTTTGTTTTGTTTTCCCCCCCGGGGGACGAACCGAGGCTCAAACAGAGGCTGGTTAAATTTAGGCGTGCAATGGAAACCTGTGGACAGCGGAGAAGCGAAATGGGTTGGGCTCTGGGGCTGTCTTCTTTACTCTCGCTCGGCGGGCCGCATCACACCGCAGACATTCTCCATTCCCCAACCACCCCCCCCCCCTAATCCTCCCCACTCCTCCTCCTCTAAAAGAAAAAAAACCATCTCGCACTTTGTCCCCTCTCTTGCTGGCCCAGTGGCATCAAGAGAGAGGCCGTAGGTGCCTCGATGTCTCCGTTGTACCGCTCTTGCCAGCGGGGTTTGTTTGCGCAGCGCGCCGCTCCCGTTCGCTCTACGTGAGCTTCGCGACTTGCAGCTGGCGCGTTCCAAATCTCTGGGAGCAGGCGGCTCAGCAAGGCCCCCTTCGAGTGGTCAAATCGGTGCCGGGGAGCTGCGAATTTTACAGCAAAGGGGAAGCAATTAAGGTGCCGGTGGCTTGACGTTACTGCCAGGTTAGGGTCGTTTAGTTTTGTTTTGTTGTTGTTTAAGTGTTGCCCATCTTTTAAGAAGAAATACATATTTGAACGGCGATTTTATTTTTTGTCTTGGAGGCGATCAGGATATTTAATTCGGCATGTCTTCGCAGCAAGTCTCAAGCATATTCCAACCACATCTGCATTCCGTGGAGGCTATTGGTAAATATCTCAGTCCCTCTCTCTGTGTGTCTCTCGTTCGCTGTCAAATCTGCGGTGCGACTGCTATAGGGTTGTGGTCGTACGCTGAGTTTGGTCAGTAGTTCGATGGCATCGGGAGTTTGATTAAAATAAATATTTTCGGGTGATTGTGTGCATCTCGCCACGGTGGCTAGGAGATGTTAGCTACCTCGCTTGGTATACAGGAGGTCGTGGGTTCGATCCCGACCCTGACTCCTGCGGTTGTATATTTGGAGTTTGCGTGTCTCTCTCTCCCCGTTGTCGCGTGGATTTTACTCCGCGTCCTCTGTTTTTTTCCCCTCCACGTTTAGAATCAACATCACGCGTTCAGTGTATTAGGCTGCCGCTATAAATGTGCACGTGTTAAGCCACTTCGTTGAGCTATCATTTGCGGCCAGGTCGCTTCTGAAATAGAGCGATAGAGCTCAGTGGGACATACCTTGCACAATCAAAGTTTAGTTCTGTCCTGTCACCATTGTGTGCGATGCTCGTTGCGATGATAGTCACAACTTACGCATGAACTCTTGTGACAAGTGCGTCGACGAATCGCGGCGTAATTTCGTAACAGCGCCGTCGTAAAGTGAGTGGCAATCTGCGGCAGTCCACGGTGATTGTGCTGCGTAGAAACTGGAGCCATAGGAACGTGGAGTATCCACCACGGGCTCAGGCCCGCGAGTGGAGAAGAGAAGAGACACTCCGTCTCCGTGGCGACGGAATATCGCCGTGGAGACGAAGCGATGTAGACGGGGCGTCGGAGACGGAGCGATGGAGTCGGGTCGTGTGCACTTGCTGGGTGGATTGTTACATCACGGGCAAGGAGAGAAATAGCGACTGGCGTTGGGAATCCTTCATGCAGCAGTGGATGGACCGTGGCCGATGATGATGACTCTAATTGGGTGGCAGGGCGATGCGTTTGGAACGGTCGCGGTGGCACAACGTTCCGCGGGCACTGAGCTCATGGGCCATGCCGTGTGAGTTTGCACTCCCGGTCACGGCCAATATTAGGGCCAAGCGAATATCTGAACCAGTCCTGGGGCCTCCCACTTCACCAACCAGCAGTGACCAGCGTGGTGAGGTATGGTCAACCCCCCACCCCCATTACTGGCACTGAATTGGGAGGTTTTCATCCAGCAGTGGATTGATAAAAGTGGCTATACACACACATATATAACCATGTTTCATTTTTTTATTTAAAGCTTTCGTGACTGCAGGGATTCATATTCTTGGTTCTCTCGGTAAAGTCACGTAGAAGGGAAACAATAAAATAATAAAATATAAAACAATAACATTATCACGACGTTTCGACTGCAACACAAGCAATCATCATCAGGTGTGAAAACCCACGGCAAGAACATTTTTTTGATTTAAAGCTTTCGTGACTGCAGGGATTCATATTCTTGGTTCTCTCGGTAAAGTCACGTAGAAGGGAAACAATAAAATAATAAAAAATAAGCAAGAAAATTTTCTTGCTGTGGTTTTCACACCTGATGATGATTGCTTGTGTTGCAGTCGGAATGTCGTGAGAATTTTATTGTTTTATATTTTTATTATTTTATTGTTTCCCTTCTACGTGGTCACTTTACCGAAAGAACCAAGAATGTTTCATTTGTTGCACTGCAGAACTGCGCGATGATTGTTTTCAGTTAAAATGCCGCGCTCTTGATTTTGAAAACAATTGGGACGAGAATGTATTCGCTGTTGCTGTTCATGACTTTTTAATTCCGTATTTTTGTTCCACAGAACGCGTGTTGTTCCACAGAACGCGTGTTGTTCCACAAAACGCGTGTTGTTCCACAGAACGCGTGTTGTTCCACAGAACGCGTGTTGTTCCACAAAACGTGTGTTGTTCCACAGAACGCGTGTTGTTCCACAAAACGCGCGTTGTTCCACAAAACGCGCGTTGTTCCACATGACGCATTTTGTTCCACATGACGCATATTGTTCCACATGACGCATATTATTCTTAGCTCTATCGTTAAAGTCACGTTGAAGGGAAACAATAAAATAATAAAATATATATAAAACAATAAAAAAATCTCACGACGTTTCGACCATAACACAAACGGTCGTCATCAGGTGCGTCGGTTCGCATTAATTAATTTATTTTTAAACGGTGTATTTATTTATAAAAACGTCGGCGCCACGCGCAGCAATTTGGCAGTTTATTTAGAAGGACTAGTCCATCTATGTTCTGAAAAGAGGAGGGGGGAGACGAAAAATTAATGTAATCTGTCTGAAAGCCACTGTAAGCGTGAACAATCAATTAAGACCTGAAATGGTTTATCAAATCTTTCCAATGATTGCTAAGCCAGAATCCATCTTCTCGGTTGAAATTGTCTCTGTGCTTGTATATATGGATAGCCTCATGAACGAATCTCTCATGGTAGCCAGATGGCTTACAAGGAACCTCTGTCTTGGAAAAGTCAATGTCATGTGAGCCTACTGAATTATAACAATGATCTGCCACGGCCGAGGTGTTGGTCCTACCGTGTTTAAGGTCTGCTTTGTGTTCACGAATGCGGTCCGAGACATGGCGTTTGGTTTCTCCAATGTAACTACTACCACAGAGGCACCTTAGTTTGTAGACACTAGGGTACTGTATGTCCGGAATCACATCTTTTACAAACGGAACCAGATCACGGATTTTATATATATATGATTATTTTATTGTTTCCCTTCAACGTGACTTTACCGAAAGAGCTAAGAATATGGATTACTGCAGTCACGAAAGCTTTAAATCAAAATTTTACGACGCATATTGTTCCACATGACGCATATTGTTCCACATGACTAGTGTACCCGAGGTGACATGTGACAGACGATGAGACTTCCCATCTAAGCAGGATTTTTTGCCCCGGTCTTAAATTTAGAGAATGCATCAACTTTTTAAATACAACATATAAATGAATGCACATTCACCTGCGAGTGAACTTTAAACCCGGAGTTGTCCAACGTGCGAACGAAGCTCAACATTCTCACCGCACGCACGCGTCACAGGTTTAGCAGCTCTAAGCCCGTTCGCTGCTCGGGGAAACGCGCACTGTGTGAATACGTGGCATGACGCACGGGTGATGCATCACTTATTTGCAGGGTGATGGATGCGTGTGTGAGTGTGTGGGACGAGAGAGAGGAAGAGTGGGGATGCTTACGAATGAACCGCGCAAGTCATCTGACTCCTCCTCCTCCTCCGGGTTGGTTGCTGACACTCAGTCTGCTCCACCCACACTCAGTCTGCTCCACTCAGACTGCTCCACCCACACTCAGACTGCTCCACCCACACTCAGACTGCTCCACCCACACTCAGTCTGCTCCACCCACACTCAATCTGCTCCACTCACACTCAGTCTGCTCCACCCACACTCAATCTGCTCCACCCACACTCAGACTGCTCCACCCACACTCAGTCTGCTCCACCCACACTCAGTCTGCTCCACTCACACTCAGTCTGCTCCACCCACACTCAGTCTGCTCCACTCACACTCAACCTGCTCCACTCAGTCTGCTCCACCCACACTCAGTCTGCTCCACTCACACTCAGTCTGCTCCACTCAGTCTGCTCCACTCACACTCAGTCTGCTCCACTCAGTCTGCTCCACTCACACTCAGTCTGCTCCACCCACACTCAGTCTGCTCCACTCAATCTGCTCCACTCAGTCTGCTCCACTCAGTCTGCTCCACCCACACTCAGACTGCTCCGCCTCCACCCACACTCAGACTGCTCCACTGCTCTGGAGGAAACCCTCGCCGTGCCGCAGACAACTAACGCAATGATCACCTCGCTGACCATCATCACTCGAACTCCGGTCATCCTTGCAGCGGCAGCAGCGGCAGCGGCTGCTTTTGGCGGCCGTCTGGAACGCTCTCCCTTCCGATATTCGGAAGCCACTGGGAGCCTGTGCACTTTAAAATCATCATCTAGATTGACTAACTCATTTCTTTAGAACTGCTTTGATGTGTTTAGTTTGTTGTCCTTCCCCCCGCACCTCTGCCCGGTGAGCTACGTACACGGTGCGGAAGAAGTTGAACATATATTAGCTTCGTTTAGCCTATCATATGATCATTATTCTTAACCAGAGCCCTATTACCCGTGACTTCTGTTATCCGTGGAAGCTGTAGGGTTCGCGAAAACTCCGATTATCCACGTCATAGCAGACAGTGAATGTAGGATGCCAATCAGTATATAGTGTTAATAACTAATCTCACACATCATCATCATCGCCATCACCACCACCACCGCCATCAGCAGCAGCTATGTCAGCACAAAAGAGGCATCAGGAGGCGATGCACACGTGCAATGTAACAGGGTCGGCAGCAATGTAACAGAATCGGCAGCAAGCAAAGGGCACGCGGATGAATAGGGAAGCATGGTCGAGTGTGACGGACATCGTCGGGGCAATTGTAATCGGAATACGGTACGGTGGGGGGGGGGGGGGGGCAGCACTTTGCTCGGTGGAGATGACGTCAAATCGACCGGCTCATTCCCGTCAGGGCCTCCGTCACTCTGAAAGCCAACGGCTGTCACTTTGACGGCGGTGGCGGCGACGGCGGCGGCATAAAGCGTCGAAGACCGATGGTGTGTGTCGTAGTGGCGACTATAATGAGCCAAGAATGTCTGTGTGTCCCGCGCGTGACGTCACTCCACGTCGACCAGCCCCCCTCATTAATGATCATGAGCAGGTCACGTAACTCCACATCGAACAGCCCCCCCTCAGTTTTTATAATTATAAGGTGACGTCCTCCACATGGACACACACCCCCCCTCCATTAATAATAATTAGCGGGTGACGTCACTCCACATGGGGGGGGGGCGAGGCGCCTCCTCCCCCCTCCTCGGCGTCAACTGACAACCCTCACTACAAAGGCAGAACCCTCATCACGTGACGCGATCTCCGTCACGCTGCTGATACATCGAAGTAAAAAGGACGTCGTGCTGAACGAGGGATTATAACCTTTACATTAAATAGGTCTGTGTCACCGCGACCTTACAAATTGCACGCGAATGGATGCAACGAATATATCACGGTCGCGCTCCGCTTTTTGCTTGCAAGTTTCAGATTTACTGCAATACACCCGTCCTTGGACGGGCTAAATGCTGGTGTATATATATACACGATAGGCTGCGGCTGCGGCGGCTGCGGCGGCTGCGGCATTCTCCCAGAGCGTTCGCTTTAAATATAGCCACGGGCTGAGTGCATTCGTGAGCGGGGCACATCGCTCGGTGTAATTGCGAGAGGCTCTCCCTGTTTTCGGCCTCGCTTGTTATTGCATCGTCAAACGCGTGCACTTATTTAGCGGTGTTGGGTTTTTTCTCTCTCTCTCTCTCTTTCATCTCCGTCTACGTTTGCTGTTGTTACTCGATGTTAAAGAGGTGAAGTTTTGCCAGGGGGCCACGGTTGGCTGGGTGATGTTAACTACCTCGCCTGGTATACAGGAGGTCGTGGGTTAAATCCCGACCCTTGACGCCTGTTGTAGATTTGGAGTTTTCGTGTTCTCTCTCTCTCTCTCTCCCCCCGTGGTCGCGTGGATTTTTCTCCGGGTCCTCCCGTTTTTTCCCCCTCCACATTTAGAATCAACATCACGCGTTTAGAGGCTTTGGCTGCTGTAAATCTCCACGTGATAAGCCACTTCGTTGAGCTATCATTTGTGGCTAGGTCGTCTCTGTAATAGAGCTTTATAGCTCAGTGGGACGTACCTGCTAAAATAAATTTAAAAAATTGTTATAGATTAGATCAATGGTTCTTAAACCGGGGTGCATTGCACCTCCTGCGGGTGCGAGATGCCCTTTCTGAGAACCAAAGGGTAGCAGACGACAGAAACAGGTGAAGAACCACTGGTTTAGATTAACGCATCAGATGATTTAGAAGGACTGCATGCAGCCCGAGGTCTTTGGATCTTTTGGGCCCCACGCAAATATGTACATTGCTTAATAGTGTTGGCTGAAAGGCAATACTGTGTTGTACTGTGATAAACCATGTGGGTACTGTGGTAAAGCCAGAATAGCATCACTGTATTCTACCGCCGGTTGTGTGCCAACATTTGCTTGATGAAACGATGGGTTGGCTTTCACAAAATCGTGCATCGCATTTAAACAAAACAAAAAAAACTCGAACTGAAATAACCGAGGTGGATAACGGTGGAGCGTGTTGGCATTTTTTGGCAATGGTACTGGTAAACACAGCGAAGGGAAGGAATTGAATCTACAAAGTATACACGCTGCAGTTACACACACCCAGACGCTCGTTCACTAAGACAAATACAGGTGTCCCATTATTAGCCTTCAAACACCACGGGGGGAAAGTGCTGTTAGCGAGTGCCTATTAAGGCCAGCGCGACACGCACACACACGCGTGCGTTGTGGTGTGTGCGTGTGTGGCGTGAACCACGGCGCCATGCCTGGATGACTCTGTCTCCCCAGGGCCACCCCCACCACCGCCACTACCGCCACCACCCACACCACCACCGCGGCCACAACCACCACCACCACCACCAATGCACAGGCTACTCATTTCAGGCTGAGTTGGTCAACAGGAGGTCAACTCTCTGCTTTAGATTTATCCGACAGAACAGTTGCGAATTAAACAAAAAAAGTGAAAAATATCACTTAGTTCCTGCAGTCATCAACACTGCCTTGGATTATACAGTGCCGAGAAAAAAAGTTTGTGTAAACTCCTTAGGATTTCCACATTATAAATATTTCAAACCTAAAATGTTATTAGATCTTAATATAAGTCATAATAATACATAAGGATAACCTGATTAAAAACACGTGACATAAAAAACAAATATGATACTCTTTCAACATTTATTCATCCTCAAATGATTCTGCATTCAATAACCACGTGCGTAAAAGATTGTGAACCATTAGATTCAGTAACCGGTGACCCCCTCTTGTGCAGCGAAGACTGCAGCTAAGCGTTTCCTCTCAACCGTTGGCAGTCACTTTCACACCGGATTCGAGAAATAATGGGCCATTCCTCCTTACAGAACTCCTTCAACTCGTTGACATTTGAGGGTTGCCTTCCGTGGACAGCTCGCTTCAGGTACTGCCACAACATTCCGAATGGGGTTTAGGTCCGGACTTTGACTAGGCCCATTGTAAAACGCGGAATTTTTTCATCTGCATCCATTTTTTCGTGGATATGCTTGTAGGTTTAGGATCGTGGTTTTGCTGCGAGACCCACTTTCGGTTCAGCTTCAGCTCATGGATGGATAAGCCTGACATTCTCCTCTATAATATTCGAATACAATGCATAATTCACGGCCGTGTCAATGACGGCGAGCCGTCCAAGTCCTGAGGCAGGCAAAGCAGCCTTAAAGCATCACGTTGCCACCACCACCACCGCCACCACACTGGACGGTTGGGATGAGGTACTTACGTTCGAACGCACCGTTGGATTTTCGCAAAAAATAACGTTTCTCATTGAGGCCAAAAAGTACCGTTGACTTGTTCTGGCCAGAGAACATTTTGTTCCAGAAGTCGTGTGGATCATCGATGTGCTCGTTGGCGAACTTCAGACGGGCAGCAATGATGCTTTTAGTGAGCGGTGGTTTTCTTCTTGCTATCCTTCCAAGACACCATTCTTGTTCAGTCTCTTTCTGACAGCTGAGTCACGAACTCTCACATTAGCCAAGGCGAGAGTGGCCTGCAGATCCTTGTACGTTTCTCTGGGGCTCTTTGTGACCTCCTTGATGATTTTCCGGTTTTTTCTTTAAGATATTTTGGTAGGACGACCACCCCTGGCTAGAGTGATCGTGGTCTTGAACTTTCTCCATTTGTAGACTGTCTGTCTGACAGTGGATTGGTTGAGCTACACAACCTTGGAAATGGTTTTGTATCTCTTTCCGGATTGATGAGCATCAATAACTCTTTTTCTGGAGTCCTCAGAACTCTCGTTTGATCGTGGCATGACTTGTTCGCACACACCTGTATGGTGAAGACCAAACTCGCAAAGTTTCTGATCTTTATTTAGGGTGGGGCCTCCCTGACTCACCCCTAAAGATATACCTAATTATTTAATTCTAATATTCCCTTGAGCTGATGAGACCAGGGCTTAACTTAATTTTTCACATACCCTGAACCTTATTGACTCATTGTTTAATTAATGACTAATTTTGTTTCAAAAGACATGGAATTGGTTAATATAATCCCGATGGGATATTGGTTCAAGAAGGTTATCGTGGTAACACTGTG